CCACTGTGGGCTTCCTGTCTGGAAGGCAGCATCCACTGTGCTGCATCCTCAGAACTCTTGAGTCAATGAGAAAAACGTTCTCTCCTGTGAGGTTTCTCCCCTGAGGTTGAGGGTGTCTCATGATTTGTCCAGGAGGGTGATAGGTGTCTAACTCAGAGGAGAACTGGATTCTATCACACAAACCTGGAATCACATCATTCTTCTCATAAATCATTTCCATAGTCTCTCCTTTGGATTCCTGGTATTCATTTCCTATGAATAAAGTTGTTCCTAAACAAATGAATTGCAAATTTGAAGAGTAAAATATATAATATTGTCATGGTCTGCTATTTTTTAAATTTATAGGCAAAAGTATGAACTTACCAGAGGTAAAGTTTGACTAATTCATCAAGTCCTACATAATATCTGAAATGAATAGAAATACACATGAGCAATCCACTGTATGTTCTTGTACCATAAGAGATTCCTTAAGAGAAAATTCTAGAGCCATATGGAGAAACTATGGAATGTGTGTTGTGTCTCTTTCTTTTATGAAAAAATGTTAATGTGTGAGTTGCTTTTTCTACACTAAACCTCAGGATTCAGGTTCAATTGCAGTGTTGGCACTTTGTGATCCATAAGTGGGTTTCGGGTTGCAGTGTGGGCACTGGGTCTCTAAATGTTTCTCCATCACTGCTCTGAGCCTATACACAGAAGACTGAGTGAAGGGCACACATGTCCCTGTCATTCTGATAAGGTGACACACAGAATGTGGGCACTGATGGAAGAATTCTGACTGCACTGCATGTGGTAGGAAATAAAATTTGAATACTTGCTACTAGCTGGATTTTATTTGCATAGCAAATGTAAATGAAAGGACAGGAAATCTTTTTGATATAACAAATGTGTTAAAGAAAATATGGGGTCTAATATCAATCTACCAGAAATACCAAACATGAATAATTTCAACACACTAAAACACAACCAAGGATAAAAAAATGTCCTCTGCTGTTTCCCCTCAGATCCTATGGCTGGGGCAGATATGGGACAGGGACGAGGTTCGAGTTGGGCAGCAGAGGACTTAAGAATTTCCTTCCTAGGGCCCCTGGGCCAGGTGAAACATGAATGGAGCTCCACAGGACAGACACAAAGGGACAGCAGCAGACCACAATGCTCCCCACACAGGGTCCCCTGGCCAGGCCGGGACCATTCTGGCTCTCAGAAGAATCAGGACAGTCTCTGGTGGGGGCATTGTCTGTGGTGGGATGGACAGACAGGGCAGGTTTTAAGTTTCTCTCTGATCATGAAGCATTTACAGAATTTCCACCACTGAACTACATGTTGTCTAGAGAAGTGCTGCTCCATGTTTATATGATTTTTGTTTTTGAAGTTATTGTTTGTTCCATCCATTCATTTATTTCTTATTTCACAGAAGAGGAACAATGGAGCAAGCAGGTACCTGATCTGAAGGGGAAAATATCAGGATTTTATTCTGCCCTCCTTCTATGAAGCCATTTAGCTGCATTGGGTTGAATGGGCCTGCCTAGGACTTACCATCCTCTAGGACAGAAGATAAAATCCTCCCTCCCACAATGTGTGAGAATGTCAGGTCTGTGTCATATTCATCACCACTGATGTCATAAGAGGGATGGAGGGCCAATGTGATTGGTAATATGGATCAGAAGAGCATTCAGTACCATATTGCTGTTGCCAATGCAGCACGGCCCACCCTACAGATCCCAAGGGGGACTGTTTTCCCTGCTACTCACTCAGGAGACTGAGTTAAACTGAATTAAACTAACCTTAGTATGCACACTTTACTATCACAGGTGATAGCTATCTCTATCAATAGATAGACAAAGATCAAGACAGTCACATAGACGAATGCACTGAAGTGGACCTCTTTATTTTAGGGTGAATACAGCTGAATATTTCACACCAAGATCCCCAACTCTATGAACACATGGACCACTCTATCCTCTCTTCTCTGACCTCTCACCTGTCACTGTGCAGCCTCAGCTCCCTCACATCAGGAGCCCTCTCCTGCACTTCCCCATGGCGGACAGCAGGGGGCAGGTGAACTTGACTTTTCTAACCATTCTCATGCACAAGCTTGGAGCTGGGCCAGTAAATTGCCCATGGTGACCCAGGGAAAACAGGAATGTGATTTCTACAAGACCCCTCTGAAGGCGGCTTTCTCTTGAACTATGGATGACTTAGGACAGCATTTATACTTAGAAATTGCTTCTGCTTCCTGTCCTGAGGACTGAGGTGGAGGCTTTGCTGAGCTTCTCCTGAAAGATTTTCCCATACAGCATAAAATAACTTTTCAGGGTCTAGATTAACTTACTGTGTTTTCGTTCTGGCCTCCTGTAATAGTTTAGCAAGAACTGCAGTGTTTCAGTGTGCCAGATCAGAGGAGTTACTGAATTAAACACACAGCACACTGTATTGCATTTGCTGATTCATACTTGTGTGTGTGGAGCAATATGGACACAGCTCAGTAGAGAATTCATCCTTGGAGTTATTCCCCACTTCTGTCCCCGACTGCCATGAAGTGAGCACATTTGAAATTTCTTCCTTGAGCCCAGTTGATCTTCAAGGGAATTATTTGAAATCATTAGAAAAAATTTAAATTCTCTCATACTGTTCTTGTATTATTTGTTGCCTCAACCAGAATCCTGGCCAATATATACCCATATATATTTTAAATGCTTCTCTGTATTATAAAATTTCATAACTAGATGTCCCTTCACAGAATTCAATTCTTTTATTCACAGACGGCTTAAAACTGTCTTTCCCATTTGTACATTCAAATGTGATGAAAATAAGCATTCTTCAAATATAGGAGGCACACAATGCATTTAAAGAATCTTCCATATTAATTATTTGTTATAAGATTGGTTACAGAAATCTCTTAAGCATGAAGTTTTATAAAACACAAAAGTGATTCATTAAAGACCTTATTTTCCATTTTTTCAAAATATTATACTGAATATTCACTCTAACAAGGTTTGTCAGTTATTTATATTCAGCTTGCTCTTGTGAGATATTGAATATCAATAATCAAAGAATTGGCTCATTTTATATGATTAAAATGGTTGTGCATGTGACTTTGAGCAAACTAATTCAACTCTGTATCTTTTGGGAGAAATTTCAGGTATTTTTAGATAACAAGTGAGAGATCCTGCATCTATCCCCACAGTGTACTCATAGGAAAATCTAGGGTCACAGGACAGCAAAATGCTCCAATCAGTTGTTTCAGTAATTGCCCCTGGATCTTGTGCCTTGGTAACCTGAGGAAAATGGAGAGGAAAGTCAAGCTCTCTGTCATATCATCCCATGCCATGTATGTGACCTGCTGAAATTGGTAGGAAGCCATGGAGTGGTGAAGCCACCTGGGTGGAAGAAATTCTCTAAAAATTAAGACTAGTAAGTGACCCTAATATCTATGGCCATGACAAGGTTTTTGGGCCTAAATCCATTCATTCAAAACTGCATTAAATATTACAAAGGAACTCCCAGATTTCTTCCTAATGTTTTATTAGTTAAATAATTAAAATCACAGTTTTTTATTCTGCACATAAGTTGTATTTAATTTGTGCTTTGGAAAGTTAATTGCTTTCTCCCACACATCCATATTTGATATTTGTAGGTAATCACACTATCCTATATTAATATGCAACATTGTTCATAAATAATAATGTCAGTGTTCTGAAATATCTGCCTTGTAGTTTTTTTGTATTTCAGAGTGGATGTATATTTTCATAGAGTTTCTAAGTAAAAGCTCTCTAATATTTCTTCCAATGGCTTATAAAGTGGGTAACTTTTCTTGGCGAGGACATTCATGTGATTGTGAGCATGTGTTCATTTTGAACTTTGCTTTATACATGACATGGAGCATCTGGTCCAGTGTGCATGCTCACATTTCCATACATGCTGCTGTTTGAGTACAGAGATGATCATTATTTTGCAAGAAATCATTTCCTCAGGTTAATGATTTGATAGTCCTCAAAAATGTTTAACCACCTATCAGCTATTAAGTTGTTATCTATTCACACATATTCTTGTGTCAACTAAGCATTGTACTTAGAATAATGGTCCTTAGTGAAGACTGGAGATCTAGAAGTTCTTGCAAGTGAAGTTTTTCCTTATTGTTTAAAGAGAAATTATGAATGGAACCTTTGCAGCATTCATTACAGATAGAAATTTTCCGGTCATATTTTCTACTGTGCCTTAAGCTGATATATATGATTGAAGTATTCTATAACTGTTAGATTCGAGAGTGAAATATCTGAAGCCTTGTCAGACAAATAGCTGAGATGTTGCATCATGGCATGACATATATAATTACTTTCCCCAAGTGCTTAGTTATGTTGGTGGAGGAGCACATCCACTGAACAATTTTCCATATCATTAACTGAGGTTGTATGTTCAGTTTCACATTTTTCAGGTAACACTTAAATAGATTTCTTATTCATTTATATTTTTGCACAACAGGGGAGACTGTGTGCTGCAGGCATTCATTGTAGTACTTTGTGAGCAGTCTGTCACAACAACAAAGGTCAGAATGATGGTAGAATCTTTTTTCATGCAGGTGAGATTCTTATGTGTATGGTGAGTTTATCTCCATTGTAAGATTTTTCCATCAGGTATAAGATTGGCCTAAGGCTTTTCCACTCAGATGACATTTTTGTATTTTCTTTGGTATGTGAACTGTCTTATCATTGTTATGAGTAGATGACTGTTCCCCAGACATATATTCTCAGTATGGTTTGTGTGCTGTGAGATTTCTCTGATGCTCACTAAGGTTAGATGAATACATGAAGACTTTTCTAATTAGAAGATGTATGATTGGTTTGTCTACTGTATTCTCTAATGAGTATTAAGTCTATACAATTGATTGAAGTTTTTCCCACACATATGATTCTCACATATTCTCTCTCTTGTGTGAGTTCTCTCTGGAAGACTAAGTAACATAACTTACTGAAGGTTTTCCAAAAAAAAAAAAAATAGAATGTTCATGATTTCTCTCTAGAGTGTTTTTTCTCATGGTTTCTAAGGCTAGATGATTGAGTGAAGGCTTTCTCACACAGTTGACATTTATATGGTTTTTCTTCAGTGTGCATTCTCTCATGTTCATTAAGGTGACTGGACTGAGTAAAGGCTTTCCTGCACAGAAGGCATTCATATGGTTTCTCTCCTGTGTGTGTTGTTTTATGCTGCAGAAGGGTAGATGAATCAGAGAAGGCTTTCCCACACAGATGACATTCAAATGGTTTTTCTCCTGTGTGTATTCTTTTATGCTTGGTAAGGGAAGATGATCTAGTGAAGGCTTTCCCACACAGATGGCATTCATATGGTTTCTCTCCTGTGTGTGATCTTTTATGCTGGGCAAGGGAAGATGATTGAGTGAAGGCTTTCCCACACAGATGACATTCATATGGTTTCTCTCCTGTATGGGTTCTTTTATGCCGATTAAGGGTACATGATAAAGTGAAGGCTTTCCCACACAGATGACATTCAAATGGTTTCTCTCCTGTGTGGGTTCTTTTATGCCGTTTAAGGATATATGATTGAGTGAAGTCTTTCCCACACAGATGACATTCAAATGTTTTCTCTCCTGTGTGTGTTTTCTTATGTTGACTCAAGTGATTTGACTGTGTGAAAGCTTTCTCACACAAATCACATCTATATGGTTTCTCTCCTGTGTGTATTCGCTTATGATTTTTAAGGATATATGAATCAGTGAAGGCTTTCTCACATAGATGGCACTCATATGGTTTCTCTCCTGTGTGTGTTCGATTATGTCTTCTGAGTTTATATGAATTATTAAAAATTTTCCCACACTGCTGGCATTCATACTGTTTCACATGTGTCTGTGTTCTCTCCTGCTGATTAAACTTAGAAGATGGACTGAAAGTTTTTCTGCACGTGCAACCTTCATATGGCTTCTCTACTATGTTAGTTTTGGTGTGACCTCTAAGCTCAGCATAACCTGTAAAGCTTTTACCACCTTGATGACATTTGCTTGAATGTATTCCAGATTCAGTCATTTTGTTTCTTCTATGCAGGGATTCATGGTTGTAGGTTTTGCAACACAGATGATTTTCACAGGTTTTTTCCTGAATATTTTTCCAATCCTGTAGTATAAGTTTTAAAGTTTGATTAATGTCTTTGCCACATAAACTTCCTAAGAACATTTGTTATCTAGTGTGTATAACTTATGATTCATAAGACGAGAACTTGGAGAAAATACTTTCTCAAATAGACAAAAATAATGTCACTACTCTCCACTGTGAATCATACTACACTTTCTAAGGTGTGACCAGCTTTTAATGTCTTTCTCATTAGATATTCATATGAATATGCTATGATCAAATTTTGTTTTCTGTGTCCACGTATGTGTATTGACTATGAGGTTATTCTTACACTATATTTATGCAATGTTTATTTGCAGTGAGAATTAAGAAGTGAGGAGTCAGGGCCAAGAAGTGTTTAAAGTCTTCCTTTACACCAATTGAGAGGATTTTTTTGTACCAGGGATAAAACTCAAGACCTTGCTCTTGCAAGGCAGGCAGGGGACCACTGAGGTAAATAGATGGCCCTGAAAGGACTTTTTGACAAAAACTTATCTTTAGGAAGAAAATCACTTGTTGTTCATAATATACCCAGGTATATTTCTATGGTATTTTCTCTATATGAGAATTCCCAAATAAATACTGAAATCTAGAGACATGGGTTTTTATTTTTCCTTACATAAGCATGTGACATTTCTATCAGTTATGTAAATTATTTTTTATTTGTACTATCAAATCTCATGACATTTTCATTTCATTTTGGATCTTGGATACATTTGCAAGTGTATCTACAATATTTTTACTTTTTTCTGAGTTTACAAAGTGGTTCTCAACTATTTTAATTTAGCTAAGTGCAAAATTCTCAGAGCCTCTACCTCAGAGGGGCTTAATCTCATCTAAATTGCAGTGAGGCAATTAAGCTCAATTTTTAATTTATCCCAATAAAACTTCTTTCATTTAGATAATAAGTGTTATTGTATATAAACTTACCATTACCTTGATGGTGGGTGTGTCATTTCTTCCAATGAGTTGAGTCCTTATCCTGTCTAGTATTTTTTGAGCACCGTTTCTTTCTGTGGTGTTTAAAATAACAAAGAATTAATAGTATTTTAGGAAAATGGAAATGATGAAATGCACCAAGCCTCAATATCTGTTACTCTTGAAATGGCAGGTATTTCAGTGTAATAAAGTTAGATTTCACCAAAGAGACAAATCCAAAATCTTACAAAAACTTATGAAGATTGAAATATAATGTATTGATTGATCACTGGATTATAGAAGATATCAATGAGGAAATTTAAATATTCCTGGAATCAAATGGAATGAAATAAAAAAATTTCAAAATGTAGGACATCATGAAGGAAGTTGTAAGCAGAAATCCATAGATATAACTGACTGGATTAAACATTCAAGAGATCTCAACAAACAATATAGTTGTATATGTCCAATGCCTTGATATAACAAAAACAAAGAAAAGGCAGATCCCCCAAATAGAAAATATGTAATAAGCTGGTGAGCTGAAATTAATTAGAGATACAAATAGCAATAAAAGAATCATTTAATGTAATTTATTTAGAAAAGTTAGACTGTGAAACAATGACATACATAAAGAATTCTCGAGCCTGATTTATTCAAGC